CATCGCCAATTCAGCGAATACAGTGGAGCTGTTATCGAGCTGGAGCTCTGGCGAAGAGCTCCAGCGGCTCTTCCAGCGGCCCCTCTCCCGTCGCAGGTACATCCATCCCGAAGGTGGAGGGGCCGCCAAGCAAGGACGGGAGCTCAACCAGCCAAGTGGCCTCCAATTCAACTGTAACTATCGCGAACCTCCTCCAGAACGTGCTGTTTATACCAACAATATTCGCTGGAGGGATGCAATGTCAGACACAATGACATTGCGAGGCAAAGCCAGCGTGTTCGCCGGCGCTGCCCTGCTCCGACTTATCTTATTCCTTGCTTTCCCTGGCCTGCCCGATCTTCTAACAGGTCGCGTCGAGATATCCACCCCCGTCACAAGCTTCAAGCGATGTAAGTCTCAACCGGTCGTCGCATAACGAGCATCGAACGTAGCTTACTTACAAATTACCAAGTGCAAGAAGGTCTATTCCTATATTCGAACAATGTCTCGCCATACGATGGTGGTGTCTTCCACCAAGCTCCTCTTCTGTTGCCCTTGTTCTCGCTGCTCCCTGACGTAAAGAGCTGGCCCATCTTCACACACCTACTCTACATCGCCGTCGACCTCCTCAGCGCCGAGGCTCTGTATAAAATTGCCGAATCGGGTGTTGCGGGCAACTCGAAGCTATTCACATCGCCGCGCCGTGCCAATAGGTTTGGTAGTGCTGCAATTGCTGCTGGGTAAGGGGTATCTTGACTCTGAGCTTCATGTATCACAACTAATAGGCGCCAGCTTCTTGTTCAACCCATACACCATTGCGACTTGTATAGGACGATCGACCGGCGTCTTCACCAATTGCGCGATTCTTCTTGCCATCGCTAAAGCAATCCAAGGATCTCCTTTCAACGCCATGGTCGCAATCTCTTTCGCATCTTATTTGTCTATGTACCCTATCCTGCTCCTCCCTCCGCTTGTTCTCCTTGCCTATGATTGCCAAGTTGAGAAGCGTAGGATTGCTTGCATCACTAAGTTTGCAGCTACCAACGTCGCTGTTGTGCTGGGGTGCGTGGTTTCGTTATTGGGCATGTCTTTTTTGCTTGCCAACAACTCCTGGGAATTCCTGGCTCGCACATATGGCATCCAGTTGACCTTATTGGATCTCACACCCAACGTGGGACTGTGGTGGTATTTCTTCATTGAGATGTTTGACTCGTTTAGAGCTTTCTTCCTCGGCGTGTTCTGGCTACATCTTGCAGCTTATCCCGCAGCCCTCTCTATCCGTCTCCGACCCCAGCCACTGGCTGTGTTGACCATCCTACTGGGCATTTTCTCCATCTTCAAGCCTTACCCTTCTCTTGCAGATGCTAGCCTCTTCCTGTCTGTGGTCCCTCTGTTCCGACATGTCTTCCCCCTCATGCGGTACGCTTTTGTTACCACCTCTACGCTGCTGTACGCAACATTCCTTGGGCCAGCCTTTTACCACCTCTGGATCTATGCAGGAAGTGGCAACGCCAATTTCTTCTATGCCATCACTCTTGTGTGGAGTTTGGGTCAGAGTCTGTTGGTGACAGATCTCACTTTCGCCGTGTTGCGAGATGAGTGGGAAATTGAGAGACCTGAGATGGTTGGCAAAGAAATCAGACAGATATAAATCATGATACAATGATATCCCATGTTAAGTCACAAAGTGGCAGAGGGTCTGATAGCCCTTCAGAAAGGTATGATAAATAGTTCGCAACATCTAGATCACGGGTAGGGAACGTCGTTTGGAGTTATACCTCTGACAGGGGGTATTTGGAAGTGGTTTGTCTATTACATAAATGTACAATAATTTTACATCGTTATCATCATTCCTAGTCCACGTCCGTATCGGTCTCGATGAACCGGGCCTGGTTGGACGGATGAGAAGGTCTAGGTGCTTCCACTGGTCCTCCTAATACACTGCCCAACATGGAACCCAGAGCACCAAACTCGCTGAGTTTGGAATAGTTTTTGGGTGAATGCCACACTTGCATCCGTGATCCAAATGGCTGTAGTGCCTTGTATGTGTGGTAGCCATAGCCAAGAGCTGCACCTGTGGCAAGAAGACTCAACGCCAACATGAGGGATCTGGCATCAATGCCAGTGATACCTCCTTCAGCACGTCTTCGTACTTCGGTCGCATACTCGTCGCCCAGACCAGGAACGTTGTGAAGAATGCTGTCAAGAGTTCGGCTTCCGATGCGTAATACGTTGTTATTACCAGGCTCAACCCACGGCAAGAGTTTGGACTTGTCCAGACATCTTGTCTTCATACTGTCAACAAACGTGGACAGCCGAGGTGTCTTCTTCATGAGCCAATCTTTTAGGAAAGATCTTGGTACGGGAGCATCACGCATCAACGCGAGGTAGCCAAACGCTAAGCAGTCCAAAGATGAAATTCCTGTACCATTGAAGAAACCATGCATTTTCTCCTCGGGTCCTCCGTCAAGGAAATCGTCTAACACAGTGAGACAGTCTTCTGTGATTCCATATAGCCTTATAAGAACTGCTTGTTCGGGGGTCATTTCTTCATGAATCGTCTTCTTTGTCCTCACGGGAATGTGCCTTCGGAATGTCTCTGGTAAAGCATCTCTCCCAGAGGATAGGTGAAGGCCGCCATTAGGGTCAAAGTCAGTATCCATATCAGCAAAGCCTAGGTGCTCGACACGTTTGACAGCCTCGGCACGGAGCAGTGGCGGAACTGTCCATGTCAATGGGAAAGATAATAGAGTGCTGAAGGCGGGCCGAGTTGTGGCTGACCAGTTGGCAGCGGAGACATAGAGTGAAAGATCCAGCAATGGAGCCGCGTGCGCAGACAAGAAGGCAGCATATGCAGCACGATCAGCCTGCTGAATGTCGGTCAGGCCAGCATCCAGATTGTCACCGATAGACTTATCAGTCAAGTACTCGACAATAGGACCGAAGTTTGATACCCATACGCCCTCATGATACAGTGCTGGTAGTGTATCTGGTTTGCAATGGTCAGCAAGACAGGGTTCAGTCAAGGCAGCGGTAATGGTAAGTCATACTACACGGGCTGACGGAAGGATCGTTGCTTGGAATCAGGCGCCAGGCTGATACAGGGAGGCTGCTATGCAGGTATGTGATGATGGCAAGGCACTCGGGGTCGATGGACGGGAGGCCAAAGGCGGAACCCCATACGTGAAGATCTAACATGGCTGGCCAGGGTCCGATGATGAGGCTGTGAAGCTATCCCAGGTTGTCTGTAGTTATACCACAGACGTCATGTGCTCCCGAGAGCAAAGGTTGTTTTGCGGAATTCAGTCCGCAGTAACAGAAGCGCGCGCTAGTCTAAGGCGGGGAGATGGTAGTTATAATTTTGTGATAGATCCCGTGGCGATACGCCAATATCACCAAGTAGAACTTAGTTGATCCTCGAGGCCGGGGAACTCTGGAAGGCTTCACAAACGCCAGCCTCGTGGTCGTTCTTGTCTCTATTCGACGAGCCTAGCAGCGCCTAACAGAATGCCCCGCCCGCTATGAGTGACAGCGCGTAGCCACGTGATTGGTTTTCGCGCCCACCTCAGTATCGCTCCATACGGTAGGTACCTTAGTTCGTCTATAGGTACCTACTAAGGTAGTCTACCACGAAACCCAGGCAGCCCAGCTGGTTACCTTAGTTAGCAGTGAGCACCGCCGCTCTTGCTCAGACTTTGATCACCATTGCTCAGTGATGCTTACCTTTGATCGCCTTGACCTCCCACTACCGTCGACAGGAACCAACCGAGGACCAAATCTGCCTTAAGTTTGCACTGTACTGCATCAGCTTCATGCGACCTTCGCCATGGGTGCTTCTACATACCTTGTGTGGTGTCACGTGACATAGCGACTAATAACTGGTTCTGAGGTAGCATGCGATGTGCAAGGTTTTCCACCTCCCACTGACAAACGATTGAGTGTTGTGTCTATTCCGAAGTACTCCTTTCTTTGCTCAGCTTCATTCCCTCCATCTACAGCGCAGATTTCTACTTATCTATGCGCCTCTGGGCCACATTGACACAATGACGGTCAGATACCCATGTGAACGCGAAGGGTGCGACAAGACCTATACAGCCACCAGTGCACTAAGAAGACTAAGAAGACATGTCAAGAATAATCATAGGGGGGACACTTACCTATGTGAACACGTAGAGTGCGACAAGCCCTTTATAACTACTTCTTACCTGAATGAACATACTCGGATCCATAACCTCCGGTTCACCTGTCTACGTCCCTATTGTAAAGACCGCTTTGCAACAGCCTGGGATGCCTGGAAGCACACCTGGGGAGAATCACATACAGCTACAGCGGTCTATATCTGCTTGAGGCATCTGACTTGCTCCTTTGCAATTGCTAAGCGCCGATTTGACGAGCGGGGAGCCAAGGCCTACTGGCTAAATTCCCATGTAATACCGGGCGTTGCTACCTCTGGTGCGGAATGTCTACGCAAGATGGTTCCCTCATACGTACCTCCATGGGGAGGACCTGGGTGCCTCCCTCTATTCTCTTACCTTTTAAGAGCGTATGCCATATCTAAGTATTAACTGAATGCGGACAGTCTAAGTGTACTTGATAAGCCAAACTTAGCCAATCCAGATGAGATCAAGAGCAACATTGGTTCTTTGCAAAAGTCTATCTACACTCAGAATATTGGGTTTTGGCGTAAGCACCTAGATTCTAGTTGCGTACCTTGTGGGAATCTTGTTTGCTGACTGTTGAGTGAAGGCGATAATAAGCATGCCTGAGTATCGCTCTTAAAACTTGGCCTTCGGTTTATAGGACTACGTGCTAGCTCCTTTGATGGAGAGCTCTGTGAGACCTGTCCTTTCGATACTGTTATCGACTTTAACAGGGCTTATTTTACTTTAAATAACTTGAGAGATGATGTACAGTCGAAACAGAAGACAGTCAAGACCCTCGGACTCTTAAGCCGTTGTGTATACTGTTCGGCTCTCTGGGTGCTGCGGAGATTTATTGATCCCTAGATAACGCTAAACATCATGTCAGGTGACCAAATATGCGATGCTGAGACTTGCAATAATCGTATGCTCTCTGGTTTGAATAAGTGTCTTGAACATGTCTACCAGATAACTCTGGACTGGCATACTAATGAGTGGATGGGGAGCCTTCCGGCTCTAGAGGCAGCGATGCAGATTGCTGTGAGAAAACAATGGACCTATCCTCATAACTACCAGGCTATCCAGGATCGTGTTCAAGAGATTCGAGATGGCGAGCGGCCGTCATCGGACCTTGTTATACTGGATAATGAGTTCTCGCCCTCCTCTCAGCAGCCTTTTGAGATTGCAATTATTGATCGTGTTTACGGCCGAATATTAATTAACACTCTAGTGAAGCATCCTGAAGGGTCCCGTATAGCAAGCAATCCATACAGCTCAGCTTCAAATGGGCTCCCAGGCGCTATCAAGTAGCGTATGAGCCACCGAATAACGAATAAATTCGACTCAGTGTCTGGTCCTTTGACCTAGCGAATGAATGTGCATGAAGTCGCGTCTGAACTTCAGAAAGTTGGCATCTTGAAGGAATCAGTTTTTCTTGTCTACCATCAATCAAAGATTGACCTATCAATTTTGAGAAACTTCCTTGCGACTGGAGGTTATAGCGATATCCTGCCAAGCAATGATAATTGCATTCCGCTACTCCAACTTCATTGCTACCAGCAATTGCCAGCGCCATCCGGGTTTCGAATTTTCCCTCTAAAACCAGAGATTATCTTTTCTGTCTTTTACCCTCGTCATAAGCTTTGCGGACGCAATCATCGTGCGCTCGTTGACTGCCAGCAGACAAAGCTGGTGCTCGACAAATTCGATAGCCTATGCAATCCTGTGGAGAGTCGCGGGTCTGAGTGGCAGCCAGAGGAAATGGCTACCGTTTCGCAGAGACAGACCTGGATTTCTTCAGCTGGGAAAAGGAAGTACGTCTCTAATTAAGACCATGTTAGTATTTATATATTGACTAAGCTTTTAGACTGTTAGTAATGAGAAGCAAGATGGAATAGATGGTGGAGGCGAATCAAGTGGCCCCTCGACCGTGACTACGCATACCGTTGCCAGGACCGATGACGAAGGGAATATGCTTATGGTGATTTCGGGCGACGAGGCTGACAACGAGAACTAAGCTACGCGACAGATGGCGACTCCGGCATGGAGTACCGTGTGGGAGGCGACTCGGGGCAGTGCCGACGTGGGTTAGCCGGCGGAGAGCCACTGCGATCGCGGAGTAGTACGGAACACCTGGTGGAAGAGCGACAAAAAAGACTATGAGTCACTAAAACTAAAGAACAGACATTCGGGGGCTGAAGCTGTGAGACCCGCAAGAGGCTGCGACAATGTTCCTATATAGCATCTTCGAGTCACCCCAGGCTAGAAGTGATGATACACACAGGATACGTGCCGCTCCAGCACAAGGTGCGTAGGTTTACGGCGATGTCGGACGGGTCCAGTGGCGATGCAAACCGTGATTGGTTCAAAATAGGTACTTCTCCAGGGCTAGTACTCCCCACAGGCGGGGTAAGTGGATTACGGAACTTGTGGTTCGTCTGCGTCACTTATGGCCGATCGGATTCCATGACTCTTGAAAACTCTTACGGCCTGCATAAATACGCATCGAGAGCATCAACACACTGCTGAACCAGGACTGCGCGACGGTTATCTCCTGCGAATAGAATTCGAATTAAAGTCGAATCGAGCTGAACTAAGTTCCCATCGATTCCAGACATCAATTTCTATCGTCGCTAAGAGCGGCCTATTTCCCACGATGTCCATTTCCAGCAATACAGCGACGAATCCCTATTCGAGCGTCAGCGACCTCCTCAGCAATGTGCGCAACTTCAAGATCATCGAGTCGACCCTAAGGTATGAAAAGAAGCAGAAGAAGAATGCAGAGGAGTGTTATTGACTAGTTTAAAGGGAAGGAGAGCAATTCGCCAATGCGTACTTCTCGACGGAGACGAAGATCAAGATGTATGTGGAAGGTGGAATCTGACCCTTGCCTGTACGTGCTAACGTGGTCTTCTTCACAGCGCGAAAATGCTGTATGACACCTCCTCGCCCTGATATTTCAGCAACAACATTAACACCTAGCGGCGATGGCTTCGGAGTCGACTATTTGGAGCTTACGAACCCGGCCGCCAGCCGTGCGTTAACACTGCTTCTCGTTAGATCTCAGTGCTGACCGATTATAGCACAATCCCGGGACGACTGTGAAGCTATCTGCAAGCTCGGCCTCAAGGTACGCGGCGAGAATAACTCCATTGGGCAAGATGGGATGCCTGCTGACGAGACAACAGGCTAAAATTCTAACACGTCAGTGAATTCCTTGTGACCCTGCCCTGGCACATCTTCTAACGGATAGCTTAGACACCAGATGTACTCTAGAAGTAAGCACACCGAAAATGACTATGTTGAAGAGGCTCCGGGTCTTTGCGCGTAAGCGACTAACATATTCCAGGATGCCAAACTTGCGGTATGCGCGTCCGAATCAGTTGCCCATGACGAAACCCTACTAAACCCTGAAGTGTGACTGTGGAGTCGACGGCGTTGATGTCGTTATTGGAACGAGCCGTGAGTACACACCTATCGCTCGTCCGACGACCGACTGACATGAATCAGAATTCCTCAGAGAACATTCCCTCGGCGGCAAGAATATGACTGCTATTACCAAGCAGGCCATCGAGGTCATTGAGTATATTAAGAGGTATGCGCACTACTGACTGCTTGAAGACAGTAGCTAACAGTTGCTTAGCCGAGGCTGCGAGGTCCGCTTCTCAAGTGAAGATTCTTTCCGGTGAGTTGCGTCTTACGTCCCATCATATCGATCCCTATCGTCGGCCAATCAATTTACCCTGCTCGAATCTGGGCTTCAGAGGGTCATGCTGGGTAGGACCTAGAGGATAGCGCAGGATCGTTCGTGCAGACTGTGCTCTGTCTAGCATTAGGTTGCGGGCCTAGAGCCTCTGCTTTGCTTTGCCCAACAAGGCGAGAGGAAGACTCCGTGGCATCCGTTTCTCCAGAGGCTTGGCTTCTCCTGTATATCTTGACGGTGCTTCAAGGGGGTTGGCCAACTAAACTCAGCAGTCGTGCTAACATGTATGAAGGTCTGATCTAGTCGATTTGCTCTCAATCTACCGTGCAGTCAACAACGTCGGCGTCAACAGGGTAGGCGTGGCAGATACCGTTGGCCTTGCTTCACCAAGACAGGTTTACGTAGGTGATCATGTTCACCTTTAGTTTGCCTAATGCTAACCATTCACAGGACCTTGTCCGGACTCTTCGAGGTTGTGTCTCCACCGATATCGAGGTCCACGTATGTGCTGCTGTGAATCCCTTCGCATACCACTTGGCTAATCTGTTACAGTTTCACGATGATACGGGCTGTGCTGTTGCGGTTCGTCACTTTTTTTTTTAGGCCTACTCCGAGACGAGAAGCTGACCATTTTAAGAACGCATTTACTGCCCTTGAGGCTGGCGCTACACGTAAGCTCACCCTCACGGACTTACTCCCTCTATGAACAGCTAGAACATACGTCGGACAAGCAACCTTGAGATGGGATTCCGGGTCCAACAACATCGTCAACGGTGTCTTTACGGGCGGATATCAGGCTAACTTGTTTCGGCACAGACGTCGACACATCCGTACTCGGCCTGGGAGAAAGAAATGGCATTACCCCACTCGGAGCTCTTGTGCGTTAAACTCATAGTCTTTCTGAACCTGGTCATGGTCTGACTCGACGAAATTACAGATGGCTAGAATGATGCCGACTTCTAGGGACTATATTCTGTCGAAGTATAAACTGCAAGAACTCAAGAAGATCGAAGATTTTGTCGCAGAATGCGTCGAGGTATGTCAGAACCCATGTGGCTCTATTGCTCGGCTGTCTTAAGAAGTTGCCAAGCTAACAGCGTCTTAGGTAAACGTGCCATTCAACAACCCAGTTACTGGTATGTTATCTTGCCCTTCTGACACAGCACTGCAGCTTTACTAACAAGAGCTGTAGGGTTTTGCGCATTCACGCACAAGGTATATAGCACCAGTGAGGCCTGCTGCCTATCTGACTAACTAGACACCAGGCTGGCATCCATGCCAAGGCAATCCTCAACGACCCGTCCACGTATGAGATCCTCAAGCCTGAGGATTTCGGTTTGTCAAGGCAAGTTATACTATTTGTTCCCCATGCTTTCAAGACTAACAGCTATGCAGATAGTGAGTTATGACAAAAGGTAACCCTGTCGCCCTAGCATTAACACACTGCAGCGTGCACTTCACGTCTAGACTTACAGGATGGAATGCCATCAAGAGTCGAGTTGACCAACTTGGTCTGACGATGACCGACGCCCAGGTCAAGGAATGGTACGTTTTGGTCGCTGCCTCTAGATCTCTAGTTACTGACAGCTCTAATGCAGTACGGCCAAGCTTAAGAGCATGGCGGATCTGAAGGTAATGACACTTGACGAGAGCGATGCTCTGATCAGAAGCTTTCACTTGGAACTACAAAATGGAGCATAGACAAACGAAGAACAAGGATGCTGGTGTCCTGGTGTGAAACACTCAGCGTGGCGCTCAGGCTCTTACGGCTGGATGCGCCTGGAGGCGGGGGGCTGAAGCCTGGGGCGTATCTAATACAGCCTGCTACGAAACTTCGGAGACAGCTCAGGCTTCGCGCTAAAAACGGATGAGGATCCCAGGATCCGTCGGGTGTGACTATTGAGGTAGTTAGGTGACAAAATACTGCATCGTAAAGGTTAATTTTACCATGACAGAACTCTAAATTCTCTCCGTGGTTCAGTTTGGCTATCTGTATAGTATTTTGTCTGGCATCCACACCTCGGATGGGGCTTCAAACATGATACAGCCTCCCGTCCTGTCGGCCAAGTTCGAGCCCGAAGTATTTGTCCTGATCTGGTATCATGACCATTGGCTTTTCATGTCATGGAAACGGCTTTGCCTCGTCACAAGTGACTGACTCTCCCGTTCTGAGTCCCTGAAGCCACTTATACCCACTTCGGAGACATATCATATTCCTATCCAGGAGACATACTTTAACTATCAGGTCTGATCTGCATACCAACCTCACAGCGTTATTTCGCTGCTGGGTGGACGAATACATGTCAAACAAGAACCCAAAATTTCGGAGATAGATAAGATGGACAAGAGCTGAATGATTACGGTATGTACGTTGGTGTTTCAACAACTGCTCTCAAATACTAGTGGTCGATATGAGCCACATCGATGGGAACGTCTCACCAACAAACTCACACCAAATGCCAGAGCAGAGCGGAAGGGTACGATGCCACAAAGCCTAAACTCCAGGTATTGAGGCACCACTAATCACTGCTCACTACAGCTAGCTTGTGCCATTCATCCATTGCGTAATTGGGCCGATGGCAACGAGCGATCTTCATCCAGGTCCTTATATCGACGGACAATCAGGCCTTTGTCGGTAATCTTCACCCGGACCCCTGAAGCGGTAACAGAACGGACATTGACAGCGATCGTCAATCTTTGAGACAGGCACAGGAGCATGACGAGGGTGATGGAGCAAAAGATTTGGCCATGTTCGCCACATGGCAATAAGACGATCCAAATATGTCAAAGATAAGCAGCCTCATAGCCTTGATGGGCGTGACCGCCTGTTTCATCATTTTTTTTTCAATGTGCACGATCGTCTTTTTCATGATTATCACTGTGAGAGCCTAGAGAGCCTAGAGTGGCAGAGGCAAACAATTGAAGCAAGCAAACTACTGCAAGCCAAAAACTCCAATACCATGAACTTGGGTTTCTTCACCTTCAGCTGGTACCAATCATGAATCATCCCAACCTGTTGGCTGGCTCTTGACCTTGGACTTGGAACCCAACTAAATATCAGCCCGTCTCACTCTTTGCTTAGAACCAGAACTCGATGACAACCAACTTGAATGGGGTCGGCCAACAAACCAATTGCGGTTGTGAAGGCTGAGAGGCTCCCGCTGGCGTCGCGCCGGCTCAGGGCCGGACATAAAAGACAAAGAAAAATCACTAATGTTCTCTGGATTGCCATTGGAGTAATTCCGATGCCATTCCGCACCAAGAGTTACAGTGTGCCGTACCTTGTACTAACGTTGGGTGGCTCTTTTAGGGGGGAGATCAGATCACACCTCGAGGGGAACTAAGCGAAGCGAATGAGTTTTTCTCTCTAAAAGATGACGATTTGATGAATCTCGTCTTTGTCTGCCCCTCCCTCCCGGTGACATCTCCAACTTGGGGAAAAGGAGACGATCAGCGCCGGGTTTCTTACCTTGTAAACCACGGCATGTCCGGCCGCAGTTGAAGACGGGCAAGACATGATAATACAAGGCAATTATCACTACTATCGTTAGACATTTCAGGGCAGCCGCAGTAATGTATTGCGCAAGCAGTCAGGCTCCCCTGGTAAAGGGGCCCTGTAAGTTTCAGTTGTCGTTGAGGCGAGCGTCAGCTGTTCGGATCGACGCTGCAGAAGCGCGGCGTAGGCATCAAAGGGTGAGGATTACTATGTAGGGCAAGCGAACTGCTGTTTCTGTGCCTGGGCCTGTGCCTGGGCCTGGCAATGCCCAGGAGCCAAACCCAGCTTAGGCACAAGTTTATGAACAATGACAAAAATTGTACGATGCAAGGGAGCTACGTACTGGGCATGGATACTCAAGATCACGAGGCGCTATCGAGACAGGGGGTCACGGTGATTTGAGCAACGCAATTGACATTTCGCTTTTTAGGCAATCAAGCCCTGGAGTGGCCCGTCTGCCAAGCAACTCCCGGCTCCGGAGATTCGCAAAAGGAGAGACACGGGAAGCAAGAGAAAAATGAAAAATGAAAAAGAAGGCAAGGCATTTCGAGTCATCGTTGCGAGACAAAGGTCACTCTTTCGGATCTTGTTTGTTTAGGGGCAATTTCAAGTTTGATTGAGTTCGCGTAAAAAAGTATCCTGGTATCTCGTTCCATTTCCGTCAACACTGAGTGATCAGTGGACATAAACATAAGGTAATTCCATTTGCTCCTGAGGATAATCGGGTGTAAATAGCCAACCCCCATCCCAAATGATATCTATGTTCCCAACCAACGTGTTCATCATAAAAACAATAAGCCCACATGCGCGCAATGCCAAAGATAGTGGAACAATGCGGTGTATGTTGTGAGACGCCGTGATAATGCCTGTCTATTGATACAGTTCCCTTGAAAGACAGTGGAACAAATTCCTCCCAAATAGTGATGAACGAAGTAGAGAAACGGTGGTAGTAAAAAGGTTATTAGATAGTGTAATAAAGGGTATTGTAACGGTGATGCGCTTAGTGAAGGGCGCACGCAAAGAAGTGAAGTTGAAGAGTCCGGTCGGTCCAGCCATAAGGGACGATGTTGGTGAATAGACTGGGTCGCGAAATGCCTGGGCAAAAGTGGCCAGGAAGATCCGGTGAAAGCAGGTTGATTGATTCGACGGATGAACCAGTCGAAAGGCGGTAGTATTTTTGCATGCAGGCGGCTTGCATTGCATACCAAAACCCAGAGTGGTTATGATAGATTATGTGCATGTAGGGGTTCAGTCGTAGTTCGCATGTGCATATGCGGCGCGGGAGGTCGCAAGAGCCGGGCGAACCTTGTCCTTTGCCATTGTGTAACCGAGGACGAGAAGAGCTGAAGCCAAGAGCCTGCCTGTTGGTGTCATGTAGTGGTGGTTGCGTGATCCCGGAGAAAGAGGCTGAAACCCAAGACAGATGCTGGTTAACTGTCGATACTGTCGATATGCTTTAACCTCGCTTGGGAAGAGCAGGCAGAGGTCGGTTGGGAGGGGGGCCGGGGCAGGGAGGAAGCTGCGAAGGTCGTTGAGCAGGCATGTTGATGGTAGTTGAAGATATAGCTTCGAGTTTATGTGGTTGACGTATTTTGAGAACCGAGTATAGATAGCTCAGTTCAAGATGGTGTAGATGGTGTTTGGTGGTTGAGTTGATCCGAGTGTATCGATCAAGTGGTAGTAGTAGTTGTAGTAGTAAGTAGTGTAAGTGCTCGAGTGTGTGTAAGTTGATTTGATGTAAGTGAGCTAGTAGAGGCCAAGAGAGAATGCCTGAATAGATTCTTATTGAGTCGATGATGTGAATGATCGGTCGTGGGGAAGAGGGAGGTCGCTGCCCTTTTAATATTCCTGGCCAGGGCACTCTGGTGTTTGGTTTGTGCCTCCAGCCCAGCTCAAGCTCCTAGCCAAGAGGTAATCTGAGGTGAAGCAGCCCAGCCAGGGCAGCCAGGGCGCAAGACACAGGGCACCACTTGGAGACAGAGACAGGGGGGCCAGAGAAGAGAATTAGAGGGGGTGTGCCTGCACGCCCTCAGCCCTCCAGGAGATGATGAGGACCCGCTCCAGGACACACACCCCCTATACCCATGCCATGCCGTGGGCCATGCCACGCTGAAATGTGAAATGGAGGTCAGGACGGAGCTAAGGCTCTCTCGTACGAGGTAGATACGTCAGTTGAGGTACTTTGGCTCTAGGTACCAGAGCCCGCCGGACACCTGAAGCAAGCGGGCAGTCAATTGACAGCCGAGCCTTGGGGTTTTCCTCTCCAGCTATTCTGGTGCGGTGTAAGAGAATACGATACACCTCCTATATTGTCTCCTTTCCATTGGCAAACTTCTTGCTAAAACGAACGGACAGTGACAAAAAATAGAAATAACGGAAATTGAAACAAGCAAACGGCCGATGGCATATCACGGAGTAGAACAACAAGACATGGAGTCCCTTTCTACGTTAGCAGTCAAGCCAAGTCATCAGTAATCAGCCCCTGTCGCACAACAAAGCGCCCAGTAATTCAGTAAAATCCACCATTTCATTCAATAATTAATTAATTAATATTGCAACTCACAATTAATTACATGTTGTCCTGTCTCTCGATACCCATCCTGAACCCTGTGCATGCAGTAGCACAAATGCAATGTGCTCGGCCACATTTTCAGTCTCTATGCGTTTGTCCTCACCGATGCTGCAGATGCAAATGTGCATCAATTAGCTCGTACAGCACAGCAGTTTACTCTCACTGCCCAGCCTAAGATGGTCAGTCTCTACCAATACGACGCCCTCAATCATCTGCTTCTGCTTGTACGACACGCCCATTGGACTTTTGAATGCCGGTCGACCCCAAAAAAAGCAATAACGCGGGCACTTTGTAAATACCCATTATGACAATTCCTTGCTTCCTACGGCGCATTATCAGCCTTCTATTGGATATCGAGAGATCAGCTGGGCTGCCTAGCAGGCTGCCAATGTAGCACAGCCTGCAGCCCGTAGTGTAGTGTTCGATGCAGTCAACTCAAAGCTGACTGTTACTGGTACTGGTAATGGTACTGGGTATCCAATTGATGCGTCCAAAGGCCACGAGTATCATGAGCCGGCGTATACTTTGGTCCAGCGCTATCAACCCGCCAGTGTAAATCTTAGGAACCGGCTTCCGCCGTGGAGGCGCACCAAAACTATAGATCAGTTCCCCAAGGAGGGCAACTCAGGAAAACGAAGCCCGTCGACGTCAAAAAGAAAAAAATCTACAGCGAAGATCAAGTCCAGACCAGCCAGTAAAGTCTGTACTGATTCATTCCAACGAGTCCGGCTACCGAGCCGTTTGATTTTGCTTCGCCGTCGCAGCCATCACCTTGGTAGCGCTATTCTTTTTGACAGAACAGGCAATTCGACGAAGATGCAGTGGTCGACGCCCATGTTGGCTGGCAGAACGGCTTAGACGGCCTGCGATCCTCGTCAGCCAAGCAGTGTGAAACAGGCGAAGCTGGAGAAAGACTGGTTCTTTGTTGGGGGTTCCACAGCAAACCCTGGTATAGAACGTCGCATGGAAGCTTTGGAAGAATTTCACCCTGGCCAATTGTACAAGATTGAGATTATGGCTCTAGCCCTCCTCGCCTAGGCTCGCTCTCGGGTGGATATGCTGCCCAGGGTGTTTGATGCTCACTGAATGACGTCTAATTTCGGTGGTCCATGAGCCTGAACCTTGACTGTCATGCCCCCGTTCACATGTGAGTTGAGATGAAGCGTTGGTAAAAAAAAAAAATAGACACAAATCTCACCAAACCAAACGCCCTGCCTGGAAAAGCTGAGACCAGGGGGCGGCGGTTTTCTGTCACCGCTTGGTTCATGTCACAGTCACACACAAATGGGTCAACCAATTTGCGAATTTCCATCGTCAGCTTACTGGCTCATTCTCAACAACATTGATTAGGGCTGAGTACTATGCAGGCATGTCTGCAGGCGAGATCTTGACCGCTGAAAAGAAGCAACTTTGGTATGTGGATATGATATTGGCTGACCGATATACATCAACTATCGAACTAAAATTGGGAGCTGCATTAATACTCCGTACTTGGGCCTTCATGCTGCCGTCGGTCTGATAGACGCAGTCCAGACCCTCAAGGAATAATTATTTCGATTGCGGGGGGAATACCCATAGGTAGTTACGTTGGTGTCATACGAATTTTTACCTCTAACGTAACTTAACTTACACTGACCGATCATCTGTCTCGGTTGTTGGTGCCAAAAGGTCTCAGATCGATAACACGATACCATACCTTCCATACCGCAATACAACCTAACACTGGCGTGTAACAACACGTGTTTGTCTGTCCAAGCTGGCATGTTTCTCTCTATGGCCAAGCAAGCAATGGAGGGTAACTTCTTTTCCATATCGGAAATGCCACCTGATTATCTGACTATTACGGCGTAGACTAGTCTAGCGATGCGTTCGCCGTCGTTGAAAATAAACGTATTCGTTTCAGGTTACTCCCTGCTTCTACTGGTATTCGGCATATCGCACCGGTTTCGCGGCCCAGAACTCTCCGCAAGCCTAGGCACCACGGCTGGCGAGCCTCTAACGCACTTCACCTATCATTTCCGTGTCGTAGAAAACTTTAAAAAGAGAGAATAGAGGTATAGCATTGGTCTGGCGGGCTCAGTATGCGGGCCGCCTTCGGTAGAAGCGTACCGAGCATTCCAGTGCTCTTCTAACCGATGGTGAAGAGCGAGAGAAAAAAAAAAAAACCCCTTCGCTTTGACGTTTGCTCTCCCGACAGTTGAGAAGGCCAAAAGTGTAAATGAGGACTACCGTAATCTGCGTGCCTGTGCCTGGCTACGACACGTTTTTTCCCGTGTCATGGTGCTTAGTGAGACGGCGATGTTGTGGTTTTACGAGGTTCCTTGGATTGACGGAGAAGACCAAAATAGTACGATGTACCGCTAAGCCGTGTAAGCCATTTACAAAGCATGGGATTATTCTTACAGATCTGTTTCGCCGGGGGCATATCGAATGCATCAGTGTCTCGTGGTATTGCTGTGCCGCCGCCTCTTTCTTTTCTCTGCTTCCCTTCTGTTCTTTCGGTACGGATACATTCTACAGCCCTACATTCACGGTCACTTACACAACCTCTTCAAAAACATTACACGGCAATGTATTCGATACATACACCGGGGTTTGATGTTGAGTGGTTCGCAGGTGACACTGCCCAACCCAGGCTCTGGATCTGTATCCCTGCCTGCCAACTGTGTTTCCCCAATCCCATCATGCACTTCTGTAACCCCAGTAGATTGATACCTGCCTACATCTGGGGGTCTTGGATGACTCACACTCTTAGCATTGTGACGATGTTGTTGTCCAATTCTGACCTTAATCCCGACTGTGCCGGCAACGTTGCGGTATACAACCAAGAGGAGTAAAGAAACTCAGGACCTTGATCCAATACAGTAAAGGATGAAAAGACTTAGGTAACTCAGCATAAGTTTAAGATACCTTTTGCTAGGTTTATTCTGACACCCTACACGAAGGTCCGATCTTTTCTTGCTCCCCAAGAACAACTCGCAAACCCATGCATGCATTGGATTGGATGTCTCTGTTTTTTCTCATCGGTCTTGGCACGGAGGCTCAGCATTTAACGGTGTACGGTCAACGTTGTTTGTAACCCCCACAGGAGAGGGAGGGGGGGCAGAAAGGACTGCTTATTCGTATTCAAGGCATGCATGCTCTTAAGGTGAAATGAAACCTCCACTCTGACCATCCATCGGTTGACCCCATTATTTTATGTATGTAGCAGATCTCGCTTCGCTTTCTTTGTTGTGCTCGCTTTTATTATTAATCCCACTCCTGTGGTCCGTAGACCTAATCAAAAAGACCTCATCTCACCGCGATTGTGACTGTGCGTTCGAAGCGAGCGCTCGGGACGCGATATCACGCTGAGTGCGGTCAAAGATCATCGTAATGAAGTCATAGGGGTCCTACGTCTGCTGCACAGCACATGCCGCAATTCCATGAGACTGGTGAGCGCGTGTTTGTTAGTTGAAGAGTGGGTTTCGAGTTGGCAGAAGAAAACCTGAGAACAAACCATTCATGAATGGTCCATGTAAGTCCAATAGCTCCGAAACTTCCGAACAGATGGTCAAGGCCTTGTTTTCTCTACTTGCTGTGGACTGTCACTTTGTATGTGGGTTTGATTAGAATTGTTCTATGGACGTTCCATGGCTTCCATGGCTGTGGATGCGGATGCGGATGTGGACGTGGAATGAGGTGCCACGCCTTGACCATGGATGCCATGAAAGAAGAAAGAAATGCCATGGTTGGCGTTATCGTTTGCCGACTGAGGCGTCAGGGCCAACACCGTCAGAGCATGGATGACCTTCGATTACCGAGAGGACATTCTGGATCACCTCACCTCACACCGACAAGAGCCCGGTCCATCTCGTAGAATATTCTTTGGAAATTTCCAAGGTCGGGATTTTATTCTAGAGCCAAGCTCGGACTTGAATGAAATAAACGGAGCAATGCTACGTGTGTCTCCTAGGGTCCCGTCCGTCTGT